CGTTAGTGTTAAGAGATAGGGACTACGCTGGTCCCACCCTGCAAGTAAAGGGAAACAATTTCTTGAACACCATAAAGCTGCGGGGGTTGCGACCAGGATAAATGGTGGTTTCTGAGCCTGGCCGCCAACTTGGCTATCTCAACTCAAAACTAATGTTAAGGTGGGAGGGTCACTTTAACACGGAGGGGGGAGGGGGGGGCGAATTTCGCCCACCCCTCCTGTTTTTCGCCAATAACTCACGCCGTAATCATAATACTAACGTGAAATTTGCTGTACCCACTACCCGTCAAGAATTTAAGTGCGGATCTTTTCGTGCAAACAATAAATAAATCGGTTCACAGTTTTTCTAGTAATAGCGGTGTAAAGTCAAACAACCTGCCGGAGCGGCGGCGCGGCGGACGGCACCGACCGTTGTTCGCCGCCTGAATGGTAGACTGTGCCGGGGCGGGACGGTTCCGTCTTTACATCGCGCTCCTTACCGCTGATTGCGATCGATTCGCGTCAAATCTTGTGTGTAGACTTAGAAATGTGTAGGCAATCTTATGACCAAAGAAATTTGAAAATCGGCCGGTAGAAACTTGAATTATGAGCGTGTTAAAGGTAGTGTGCCACCTTTGAAAGATTTCCCATTTTATTTTTCCTAGGATAAGAAGCTTCTGTTTTTACCTAATATCGCAAAGAAAATCAAAAATGGGCCTGGAATAGTGCCTTTTTCGCCTAAAAGTTTACCGGTTTTTCGATATGTATAACAACTGTAGTGGGCTGACCTGCAAACAGGCGTCGGCAACAATCGCGAATGCGGCGCACATGTGACAATAAGCAAATGTCATTATAGAGTTACGACGTACGGGAATGAGTTATCAGCTGTCTAATCGTAGACAACACAATGTCGAGCCTTAAACTGTAAGCCTGTATTGGTATTGTTTCTTTTATTTGGCTGTCGAACATTATTTATGGTTTGAAATATGATTTTACGTAAAATAATTGATATGAAAAAGCCGTCTCTTAAGTTATGACCCCATTTCACCACACGCAAGTGGCAGAAATGACAATGATCAGCTGACGCATTTTTCTTGGCCGAAGTCAGAGCGCGCGGCCCGACGCACCACCACCGCACCACAAAGTATGAGCAGAAGCCGCGCCCAAAGCCAGGGCCCCGGTAACGTGAGGTAGCCGAGTCGGGGCAGCGTGCGCTGACCCAAGCCGGGGCCGCAGCTTTGGGCGCGGTCTACCGCATCCCCGCGGGCAGCCCCGGGCTATCACATGACACCGGGAGGACGCGCGGCCCCGGCTTGGGTCAGCGCACGCTGCCCCGACTCGGCTACCTCACGTTACCGGGGCCCTGGCTTTGGGCGCGGTCTACCGCACCACCTAACAGGCGTGTTCGAAACCGCAGGAGATGATGATGAACGGGTTTATCGAAACTTGATTGGATGAGCATATCGGTAATGGCGATTTCAGTGTGTGCATTTATTGTTCATAGTGGTGTGAAATGTGGTTGGGGTACGACCGACAACCCGTCGGGGCGAATTTCGCACTGGGGTACTCAAAATTTGAAGAATTTAAGACGTTTCCATGAGTTTTGAAGGTATTGATAAGTTCTAAAAATCCGGTTCTCCTTATCTGGGCCATTAACTCCATACAGTCCAGGAAAGCTGGCACACTACCTTTAACACAAAATTGCGAATGCCGCGTTTCCAGTGTTGGCCGATCCCCACCTCAGCCGGCGACATTTTACTCTTAGCAGGCTTCGAACTGCCATATTTATTGGTTGATTAACTCGAGATTCATTATACTGTATACATACGCAAAAATGTATGCTCTGTCGTATAGTGAAAGAAATAGGAAAATCGTCCGGTGACGTTTTGAGTTATCGGCGTGTAAACACAAAACAGTCGCTCATATGGCAAATTTGACCACATTTGGCCTAATTTGACCTTGAAGATACGAGTATTGACCTCGGGTCATAAAATGCACACACAACAGGGTTCTTCATGACCCCACCTACCCTCCAAATTTCATCTCTCTACCTTCAATAGGAGCTGAGCTCTTGGGGGGGGGGGGGCGACATTCGCTCCCCCCTTCCACTGGGCGTAGTACTCGCAACCCTTCCACTGAGCGTGTTAAGCCGCCTTATTCTCCCATCATAACCCGCTCTATTAAAACGTTCTATGCATTTTGAAGGACACAGGACACAGTTGTCTTATCAGTTCTAGGTAACTTGTGGCCTGTAAGTGCATAAGATGAAATCCGAGTCGTAGGTTGTAGGTTGGTAGGTTGTACGTTGGTAGGTTGTAGGTATGTAGGGTGTAGGCTAGTCGGTTGTAGTTTAGTAGGTTAGTATGTAAGGTTAGGTCAGGCTAGACTATGTTTTTTTGGTTTTCCTAAATTTGATAGGTATTAACTGACAGTCCTAACCCATCACCCACGCCGGACTGCCATACCATCTTGTGGCTGGCTGAGAAGCTAAGCTATCTGAATTACCGCTAGGAAGAATAAAGCTGTAACAGAATGTGCATCTATCTGCAATGGGTATTTTGAGCAAAGAAACCCAGCTTACCACTTAGTTGTCTGCACGGTTGTATAGACTTAACAACCAGAGGGGCGAAAGCCATTCAAGTACCCATGCTTTGTTGAAGGCATTGCATATGACAACAGGCATTGCATATAGTAATGACCTTATTTTTACTCCATGCTCAACAGTCAATGCAACATTATGTTGGAAAATGGCAGTGCTGTAAATAAATATATTTTTTTACCCATGTGACATGTCCTAGAGCCTCGGACACCAAGTTCATGGGTCTGACAGTGCTGGTTTCCAACACATCGTTTTTCCATGCAAGCAATCTTCATTTATGAATCTATTGAGGGCATCCAAATTGAATACCCATTGCAGTGGCTCAATTATATTTAATTATTTTTTCTACCTCACCTTACTGAACTGACCAAGTGCTAACTGGAACTTTCATGCTGTTCCAAGTGGCTAGAGAGTGACTGTCAAGGCCACTTTGGTTGCCCAGGAATTGAACCCTGATGGCTGAATCGAAGTGATAAGGAAATTACCCCTAGGCTAGAATGTTCCCCGTCTGAAGCACGGGCCACTCCTTCCAAGTTCCAACACTTAGGTACTTTATGAATATGCATAGATAACAGTAGAACTACTGTTCTACTGTAGAACTACTGTTCTACTGTTATCTATGGAATATGCCATATTGGAAGTTGGAACGGAATCAGGCACCAAGAGTTCACCTCTGCGTTATTAGACTTGTCCTTCAAAATCAATCTTTATTTTATTATTTAACTAAAAAATTCATGCATAACGCATACATTTTGGTGTCATTTTCAGCCAGATGCGCAAAAAAAAAAAACGTTCAGACCCGACGTTCTGAACGGATATTTCCCATTAATTCATTGGATATTTCCGTTCCGTGTTATCGTCATTTTTACGCGCGCTAACCAGTTTACATGAATCGAAACTTGCGCATTTTTCGCTAAACGGAAATATCCGTTCTAATAGTCATTTTCGCTGTCTCATGTAAACGGGGTAATTGCTCGGAAACGGTAAGGGCTACAGGGATGAAATGTAAATAACTGAAATTCACCAATCCCTGAAATAAATTTATTCTAGCAATGACTCAGCCGTTCCTTGACCGATTGCACTGAAACTTAACTGTCGGTGCCGGACGATGCATTACCATGTGTGGGGGGTGCTGTTGCACGTGCGCACGTGCAAGAGAATGATGCTACATCTCAGGAACAGCTGGGCCGATTTCGCTCATATTTGGTACACAGAGGTATTTAGAAGGGTGGCCAGTACAAGTGCACTGAAGTCTCACTTTTCACGTGCACATGTGCAAGGGGGCCGGTTTTATATATCAAGAACGGCTAGGTCGATTGCGCTAAAAATTGGTGCAATGCTTTTGGTTAAGTATGAGTAGAGTATGAATACGGTTTGAGTACGGTATCGGTAGGGTAGGGTAGGGTAGGGTAAAGTAGAGCCGATGTGTGGTATCGTATGGGTACGGTAGAGGCAGAAGTAGGGGTAGAAGTAGGAGTACGGTAGAGGTAGAAGTAGGAGTACGGTAGAGGTAAAGGTAGGGGTAGGGGTAGAGGTAGAAGCAAGGGCCCGTCACGACCCGATGGTTGGGGGGGGGGGGGACGAAGGCCGTTTAAAGTCGATTCTTTACATGCAGCACCCATAGGCGTAATGTTAAAAATGAAAAATATTGGGGGGACACGTCCCCCCGTCACCCCCCCTCCCGGTGGCGGAGCCCTTGGGTAGAAGTAGGGTAGGGTAAGGTAGGGGTAGAGTAGAAGTAGGGTAGAGGACAGGGGTAGAGTAGGGGTAGGGTAGAGGACAGGGGTAGAGTAGGGGTAGGGTAGGGGACAGGGGTAGAGTAGGGGTAGAGTAGGGGACAGGGGTAGAGTAGGGGTAGAGTAAAGGTAGGGTAGCGGTAGAAAAGGAATAGGTTAAGGGTAGTGTAGGAGTAGGGTAGGGTAGAGTAGGAGAAGAGTAGTGGTAGGGTTGAGTTGAAGGACATAACATACCAAAGTCTCGAACACCAAGCGTTCATTACCAAATGTAAAAAAGCAAATAACAAAACTAAATATACAAGTGTCTATACCCAATCTAATGCGTCCCTTCAATAGATCATATCAAAACATACAATTATCGCGTAAACCTGTACTCTAGTTGCTTTAAATGAATCCGGTCATACATCTGAAAAAGGGAGAATATTGACCATCGACACGAGCCCGACACGAGCCCTCTCGTCTCGTCTCGTCTCGTCTCGTCTCGTCTCGTCTCGTCTCTCTCTCTCTCTCTCTCTCTCTCTCTCTCTCTCTCTCTCTCTCTCTCTCTCTCTCTCTCTCTCTCTCTCTCTCTCTTCCCGTTTTCCTCTCTCAGTCCAATCTACATTCTGTCTAGTGTCTATATGTAGACAGAATGAGACCACTTGAAACCGCCGTGACAATTGTTCTCCGCCCACAAAAACAGACCATTTTCTCCATCCGGTTGTATTGCCAGCCATGTTTGTTTCACCACGTACACTACAAAACACAGTCGGCTCACAAATGTAGAGGATGTCCACTCTTTACACGACGTATCATATTTACACGTTTCTATAGCACACCGTGGGCCCGTATGTGTAATTGTATGATTACAGTGTAGGTGGGACAGCCGTATACGGCCGTTCCATGACACGGAGCTTGGCCGACATTTCGACGGTACCGCACCACCCTTCAGACCGATCAGCGTGCATGACATCGGTAATGTTTAACCAGGTTAGATGGCCGACAAAAATGTCCTGTCACGTCACACATAGGTATGGCACATCAGTGTGGCCGTCCACCCGTGCATGTAGCGTCCACCGCAGAAGTAATGCGCGGCTTCAGTTGTGGTTATGCTTTGCATTTGTATTTTAGGAACGAATTGCCAGTCTGCAATAAAACTTTGAATGTATAGTCTCCCTTGAAAATATCACGACTCTGGGGGGAGGGCTTCACCTGTCCCAGCCGCGGTTGAGCGGAAAGGTTTGAGAACCACTGGTAGCACTGACCGGAGCCTGACACGCGGTGGCAGCAAGTGCGGCGGGGCGAGGGGAGTGGTTGTGGAGGGATGGGGGGGGGGGGAGGCGGTCGCCGCGCGGTAACTTGTGATGGAAGTAAGCATGTGGTCAACGAAAGCCACCTTACTCGCAGAGAATTTGTTGAGATTTGTTTCATTATAAAGCTGAAAATTTGACCCGCCATCGGCACGACTACCATAGACTTTCTGTATAATCCGGAAACTCGTGCACGAATGCGAAAAAAAATCAGTTACACCCGCTAACAGCCAGTCCTAACATCATCCTAACATCCGTGGTTGCAGGTGCACCCGCGAGCGGATTCAAATCACAAAAATATACACTCGCCACTTAGTCCTTTATTTGAACGTCCTCTTTTTGAATAAGCCGGTTAGTGAACGGCGACAAAAACAGATATTTACCCATCAGCCGTCTTCTTTTTAAGAGCCTTATTTGATGCCAGGCCCCCCCCCCCCATGACCTGTTTGCGTCGTTCAGAAGGCCTCTTCAGAGTAGGGTTATGACGGAACTTTGCTTCGTTGTAATTTTACGCGTCACGCACACTGAGTTGACAGTGATTGGAGGTAACCCACAGCTCTCCCCGGCTGGAGAGATATCCCCCAGATCTCCCCGGGGCCGGGGCGGTTCTTTAGTCCATGATGGGACACCCCCGGCTTGGCCAGGCGGGCCACACACCACGTCGCGTGGTGCTGATAGCTCCGCTGACATCGTTAGCGGGGGTTTTCAAAAGTGTCTGCCGCGAGCGTGAGAATGTCATGCGTGGTAAGAAGTGGGAGTTTAAGGAAACGTTGCCCGTTGTTTGTCTTTTTCTGAATCTCATGGCATGTGTCTTGAATGTTCTGTTCTGAATCATGTATCATGAACCCGGCGGCCGCTGGGCCTCCGCGCCAGCCGCCAGCCGCTGGGGGGGGGGGCATATAGTTGCCCCCCCCCCCTTTACTTCTCCGACGATATCGTCGCAACGCGAAGAGATAGAGAAACGAAACTTTGCACACATATTCCTGAATACCTAGCCGAGGTTGTGTCCAAATTTGGTGTCGACCCCACTTGAAATGACGTCACAGTTACGTCAGAAGCCCAATTATAGATTTGCGTCTCTGGGTTTCCTCGCGATATATCCGACATATGAGACCGAATATATAGGGCCGATCACTGGTTAGGATCTAGTTGAAAGTGTACTTAGATATGTCAGAATGACAACAGGTGCTGTTTAGATCATTTACCGTTGCGTTTCGTGGTCAGCGACATCGGAAACGCTCCATATCGGAAAACGACAAAACTTTATGACGACACTGTGACGTCATCTTATGTGCTACAACCACCAAACATTCCTCAAATATGCGCTAGGTATTCATTTGAAGCTATGCCAAGTTTCAGCTTCGTATCTCATCCGGTTTCGGAGATATTACACCAAACGTAAAGGGGGGCAACTTTATGGCCCTCCCAGCGGCTCGTGGGTTAATTAAATATAGATAAAAAAAAGAGTTAACAGTGATTGGCGCCCACTAAAGCAGACCACTGAGCGCCCGGCTGGTGAACCCAAGTGGGGCCTGGGGCGGTGGACGGGGTCAAGGAAGAGCGACACGAGCATGACCTCTGGGCCGGCCTCCACCTATTTCGACCCAGTTGTCAGCCGCCGGTGCCTGCGTCATATAGCAGTTTTCCTTCTATCGCTGGCGTAGGATCGTGACACAGCGTACTTTTTACGATACTGGCCATAACCTCACTGCTGGGGTCCTCAAACCGAATGAAATAGTTCACGGAGCCGCTGCAGCCCATGAGGCGATACTTTCAAGAGCGACTATGGGTGCGTTCGGAGAGCATGGAATATTCACCGTCGGCGTCCCCGGGAATATTCCCCGTGTCGCGTGCCACGTTTCATAAGTTAAATTTGGAAGAATTTTATCTGGAATATGTTAAGGCTTAAAAACATATTGCTATGAAATAATGTACAAAAACAGTTATGAAGAACAATGTTTTGTACCTATTGTAGACGTCTTGCAGGAATAACAATCGAAAAAAGCATCTACTTAGTGCATAGATGCAACAAAAGTAACAAAATTAATCATCAACAACTAATAAAACCCACTGAATTTACGTAGCCATCGCTCCTGTGGGCGCCGCCATCTTGGCGGGAATGACGCAAAACATGCTTTTCAGATTCAACGCGTTCCCCGGGAATCCACGGTGAATTTCCACGGGAACGGCTCCCGAACGGCCAATCTCCGGGAATATTCCGCGCGCATGAAATATTCCATGTGCATTGTGCAATGTGCCTCTCCGAACGCACCTTAAACCTTACATGTTTCGTCATCCTTGCAGCTGCGTGTTTGGCTTCTGCTGTCTACTCCTGGATCATTTAGAAACCGTCAGTCAAAGCCATCTGTAGATATTTGTAAAACCGCACATCACTTTAGAGGTGCGATGTACGTCGGTGCTTGGTAAGACCACCTTGTACAGCAAAGGTTTTGTCACACACATCGCAGCGGTACGGCCGCTCTCCCGTGTGTGTGCGGCGGTGGTAAGTTAAATGAGACATCTGAGAAAACGACTCATTACACAGATCACAGCGGTACGGCCGCTCTCCCGTGTGTGTACGGCGGTGGACGGCCAGACTACTTTGTACAGCAAATGCCTTGTCACACACATCACAGCGGTACGGCCGCTCTCCCGTGTGTGTACGGCGGTGGGTGGCCAGACCACTAGCTTGAGAAAACGACTTATTACACAGATCACAGCGGAACGGACGCTCACCCGTGTGTGTACGGCGGTGGACGGCCAGACCACTTTGATCAGCAAACGTTTTGTCACACGTTTCACAGCGGTGCGGCCGCTCTCCAGTGTGCCTACGGCGGTGTATAACGAGATTATGTTGCTGGGAAAACCCCTTGATGCATATATCACAGCGGTACGGCCGCTCTCCCGTGTGTGTGCGGCGGTGGCGGGTCAGCTTATCATGTACATCAAACGCCTTGTCACATACATCACAGCGGTACGGCAGGTCTCCCGTATGTGTACGGCGGTGGATGGTCAGCTTACTGGGCTCAGAAAACGACTTATTACATACACCACAGCGGTACGGCCGCTCTCCCGTGTGTACACGGCGGTGCCTGGTCAAATGACTCTGAAAAGAAAACGTTTTGTCACATATATCACAGCGGTACGGCCGCTCTCTCGTGTGCGTACGGAGGTGTTTTGCCATGCTGCCGGAATGGTTCGTAGAGTAATGAGACCACTGACACTTCAATTTGCCGTCCCTGCCGATGTGACCGTGTTTATCCTTGACGTGCCTGTTCAGAAGATCTTGTCCCGGACAGCTGAAGTCGCAGTGAGGACAACCGACCGTTGCCAGTCCGCCTGGAAAACATGGCGATATTGCTTGAACTTGGAGACAGAAAAACACGAAGTGTCAGCACCAGTCTACGGGGTGTCCAGAAACTATTTGTCACTTATTTATTCGGATATTATCCCACCGTACGCTAACAGAACTGTTAGTTATTTCTCGAGACTGTGCCTCAGGCAATCCACAGCTGTCCGTTAGTCAAGTGACCTAGCCCAGTCCCCTGACCTGGACACTCCTGGGGCCAATCTCACCAAATGCGGTAAACTCGTTTGGGGTAGCTGTAAGTTACCGCACCGAAATAACCCCAAGCAAATAATCCCTTAGGGCCTTATTTAGGTTAGCCTAGAGGGCCTTGAATAATCCAGTCTCACCAGCCCAAAATACCCAATGCCGTATTTTACGGCATTTTGTTCAAATCCTGCAAAGCAATCGCATTTTTCGACGCTTCTGATTGGTGGAAAAGCTGCTGATTACGGCGGCGTGATATGAAGAACACATTTGTTTTGGCTTCTTTTATTTATCAACCGATCACCTTGGTAACGAATGAAGGCACCTCAGTTTCCAAGATTCACGACTTTATTGAGATAGGAATACACAACAGATACACAGTTTATTTTAAATATGGAATTATTGTACTTGGACCAGTGTTGTCAAATTTATGCCAGCAGCCGGTTTAAACCGGTTTAATCCATGGATTAAAGCGGCTGGCATGAACTAATTTATGCCATCCCGGTTTAAACCAGTGTGCACCAACATAATAAATGCCACTTACGTTAACTTGTCGTAACTTCACTTGGGGTGGGCCCATGAGGGGAAGGCATTCGTCCATCACGTGCAGTCAGGGGATGTTGTGGGCTTCTTAGTGGCCCATTTGGGCATATCAGTGACCTATTTAGACCCAGCGGCCAGCAGGGGCTTTGTAGACCTAGGGGAAAGTGGGGTATGACGGGCATGTTAGTTTTGTTGACTTGTATCTCTGAAGTCATTGCTTTGATAGCTTTGTCGCTTTGGCTCTGGCATCTTCAGACATTTCTCTTTCGCTGCCCTTTTGACACCTAAGGTCTAACTCTATTAGTTTTCAAATGATAACATGTTTAGCGAGACACTGCAAAAACCCGTCTTACCCCACTAGGTAGGGTAAGACGGGTTTTGTCTGGGGGCAAGACGGGCATAATATGTTATTTACTATGTATTTCGCACGGCGAGCTACCGCTCGGAAAATGTACGATCTGCGATGGTGAATGTTTCACTCGGCATTGGAAAGGTCGATAAGCTGACCTAGCCTGGGTCGGGATAGCGCGCTGGCGTGGAAGGGGGAGGGTCAAGTGTCCGCTTCGGCTGCACAGTGCACAGTGATGGCGTTCAGCGGCGCTACGTGTCCGTCTACTAGTTATTGCAGAAAATTGAAATTAAGTAGCCATAGGAGAATCGCCTCCACCTATCTAAACACCAAGTACAAAGCAGCAGCTGCCTATATTTCAAAACCCAACAGTCGGGCAAACGGATGCAAAACTTGAACACACCAACCAAAACATGAACACTTATTTAAGCTAAACGTTGACAAAGGTGTCGGTTTCACACAATGAACGCGCGCGCGTGCGCGCCATTCCGCCGAGCTGTGCGCAGTGCCAGTGAATCACAGTCCACACTGATGTTTTACGGAGCACAGAACTCACACACGTAGTTGGCATCGTTGTCATCCAGTCCAGCGCATTCATCATGGGCCCACTTTTTGCAACAAGTGCAGCATGCCCACCCCTCGCCCGCTACTGAGTCACCAAAGGACTCGCCACAGTACAAACAGGGAACAACGGCTTCAGCAGCGCAGGCTCCTCGCTCCTTTCCGCTCCCCTTTCGGCAAGCTTTGGTCCTCTTCTTCTTGCTTTGTGTGGGCTTCCGTTTCGTCAGGCTGTTCTCCAGGGCCCTTTTGACAGGCGAACTGGTTAATATAGCTGGCCCAGCTACCGGGGTGGTCCGTCTTCTGGCACCAGCAGAGGTTGCCGGCAGATTTGCCCGAGGTAGTGGCAGTATATCGCACGGGCGGATCTCCGAGGTAGTGCCGGCTGTCGTCTCGCTGGCCTGGAGACCGGATGGCCCGGCTGTCGTCTCGCTGGGCTGGAGACCGGATGGCCCGGCTGTCGTCTCGCTGGCCTGGAGACCGGATGGCCCGGCTGTCGGCTCGCTGGCCTGGAGACCGGATGGCCCGGCTGTCGTCTCGCTGGCCTGGAGACCGGATGGCCCGGCTGTCGTCTCGCTGGCCTGGAGACCGGATGGCCCGGCTGTCGGCTCGCTGGCCTGGAGACCGGATGGCCCGGCTGTCGGCTCGCTGGCCTGGAGACCGGATGGCCCGGCTGTCGTCTCGCTGGGCTGGAGACCGGATGGCCCGGCTGTCGGCTCGCTGGCCTGGAGACCGGATGGCCCGGCTGTCGGCTCGCTGGCCTGGAGACCGGATGGCCCGGCTGTCGGCTCGCTGGCCTGGAGACCGGATGGCCCGGCTGTCGTCTCGCTGGCCTGGAGACCGGATGGCCCGGCTGTCGGCTCGTCCAAAAGACTCGATGCCTCCTCTTCTGCGGCGAGTGTTGACGGACGCACCGGATGCGTCACGTCAGACGGGCTGAAGTCTTCTTCAGCGAATACGTCCATGTCGATGGGGAAGATGCCGCATTTTTTGAATGCGTTGATCGCCGTTGCCGGGGTTGCTGCCTTCAGGTAGGCCTCGCCGAACAGTCGGGCGATTTGGTACAGCGTGACCACTCGGCCCGGGTTCTGCCTCAAGAACTTTTCGATGGCTTGGACGTAGAAGGTGTTCAGAGGCTTCATGAAGCCCACATCCAGCGGCTGAAGGCGGTGGCTCGTGTGAGGTGGGATGACCACGATGGTGACATGGTTGGCCCTGGCCATCTCGATCACATCCAGATTTCTGGTGTGCGTCATATGTCCATCCAGTATGAGCAGTGCTGGTTCTTCCGCGCTGGGCTTTGCGTGGCGGATGAAGTGCTGGAACCAGCGGGTGAAGATGTCGGTCTGCATCCAGCCCGATGGATGGTATTCGAATACGGTCCCGGGTGGTGCGCCTTCCTCAAGGTTCTTGTTCACTCTGGCCCTCGGCAAGATCATCATCGGCGGAACAAAGTTGCCGACTGCCGACATACAAACGACCGCTGTCGTCAGCTCCCCACGTTCTGCTGACGTCAAGCTTCCGACTTGCTTCCTTCCCTTCTGCGCCAGCACTCTGCTTGGCTTGCTTTGCACTGTCGTGATTCCTGTTTCATCTACATTGTAGACGACGTGTGGCCCCTTCACGCTCTTGCCGGCCTCCACCAGGATGTCAAAAAACTTCGACACCACTTCCTTGTTGAACCCCTTCGCGCGTGCCGCTGAGGTCGCCTCGGGGGTTCTCAGCGACAAGTCCTTGTTGCGTTTCAAAAAGCCTATTAGCCAGTCTTTTCCGGCGATGCCGTTCTTGAACCTGTGGTTCAGCCTGTTCTTTTCCGCGTACTGAAACGCGAGTCGGCGAGCATCCGTCTGTGTCAATCCAAAGAACATCCTTTCCATCTCGATGATATGATTTTTCAGTTGGCGCTCTTGCTGTGGGGTGAAGACCGGCTTACGTGGCCCCAGTGGCGCCTTCAGTGGACACTGTCCCGACAGTCGGCGCTGCAGGGAGCTTCGAGGGACACCGTGGTCCTTAGAAGCCTTTAGAGTTGACTTCCCTTGTTGGACGTCCTCCAACGCGGCATACATCGCCGCCCTCGTCCACTGACCTCTTGACGTTTTTCTCGTGTACGATCGAGGCATGGTAAGTATCTGAGGAAAGGAGAGCAGGTATTTTAGGAAACGAATGATAGGAACACTCCGGCAAGGTAAGTGACAGGTAGCAGACGAGAGGGACAGCCTAGGGTGGGAAGAAAGCCAGGGGAGAGCGGGAAGGGAAGGTTAAGTGGCAAAGTCAATTATCGACAAGGAGCGGGAAACTCGGCTCGGGCTGTCAGAGCTCTATGTATGAGTCTATGTAGCTCTATGAGTCTATGTAGCTCTAGTAAAAAAGGAAAGCTTAACCCTCGCCCGTAAACGCCGATCTGCCACCTTCGCCCATGCAGGGGGGGGGGGGGGGGGTTGGTGCGACCCCCCCCCCTTGGCGTTTGAAAACGGAGCGTCGTAGAGCTTAGCGGAAAAGACCAACGGATTGCTCTCGCCGAGATCTCGCGATTGGTGGTATATTTTTTGGTCCTAGGTCAACATTTGACCTACTTTTGACCGGTCAAAGGTCAAATTTTCCGAAAATCGAACTTTTTCAATTTTCCGCGGCGATTGCGGCAAAACGGTGAGAGATGTTGACTTGAAACCTTCACTATCGTGTTCCTTGATCAATTCTCTATCGTTTGGTATGTATTTCGTTATCCTAGCTCTAAAAATGGCGCGTTGGGAGCACCGGAAGTCGGCAATGTCACAGTCGGCGGCAGAAATTCGAAAAATCAAAATTTAAATTTTTGAAATCTGATTGTATTTTTGGATTTGGGAGGTCCATTTGCTCCCTATAGAAGCTAATATTGCTGCATATTCCCATTGAGGTGACCAGAATTAGCAATATAGAGCTACCGGCACTTGCCAGAAATAGCATCGGACGCTGTTCCTCTTGTGACGTCATAGCTCCGTGACCTGACCTGACCCGGTCAAGTTTCTTGCACCACACGATGGCCAATACTTGCCCCAACATGCATGGGAAGTTTCATCACGATCCATCAACCGATGTCCGTACCACCGGCAGGAAACCTCGGGTGTTGGCACTCAGTTTGTGAAAATCCGGCCGGAGGCTGTTCCCTTTGTGACGTCATAACTCCGTGACCTGACATGACCTGGTCAATTTTTTTTTACCAAAAGGTGCGCAAGGTTTGCCCCATAAGGTACCCAAAATTTGGCGGCGCTGCGCGCCGCCGTTTTTGCACTATTTCCGAAAAACCTCTGGGGGGGGTTGCACCAACCCCCCCCCTACATGGGCGAGGGTTAAGGACAA